AATTGAAATTAAAGCAGCTTATCAGTAAGTTTTTTTTCCAGCAAGCAGGCCATGTTTTAAATGATGCGGTTATTTTTTTTTCTTTCGATTTGTGAGCCCTTGTTCAAGTAAATTTCAAAGATTCGATGCCATAACCTCAATTTATGCTAATTTATGTTCTTCTCTTTGGGTGTGTTTTTGAAGTCCTTTCCTACGCTGGCCCAAAAGTGTCACGGCAATTTCAACTTGGCCACGGCAGTTTCAATTTGGCCACGGCAATTTCAACTTAGCCACGGCAATTTCAATTTGGCCGCGGCAAATTTGAATTTGGTCACGGCAATTTCAATTTCAATTTACTCACTGCAATTTCAGTTTGCTCACGGCAGTTTCAATTTACTCGCGGCAATTTCAATTTGCGCACGGCAGTTTCAATTTCTATTACTTGAGCAATAAGCCCCAAGTGCTTTGTAGGTTATTTCCCAGAAGACAGCACTTCAAGTGAGCAGGCAAAGCCATTTTTCCTAGGTAGGAAAGTTTTGTGATCGAATGCTGGAAGATGTTTTTCGGAAATTGTGGCGCTGCAGTCTTATTGTTATGTTGTAGTGTTTTTGTACCGTGTAAAGAATTTCCTGATACTCATAACCCTTGAAAAACAAGGATTCTAAAGTAACTCTTTGGTTTACCGCCATGCGTTTTACGGGCAAGTTCTATTGGGATTTCTTAGTAATTCCGCTGACATGTGGTCATATGTAAATTGAAACTGCCGTGAGCAAATTGAAATTGCCGTGAGTGAATGAAATTGCCGTGAGCAAATTGAAATTGCCGTGAGTATAAATTGAAACTGCTGTGAGCAAATTGAAATTGCCGTGAGTATAAACTGAAACTGCCGTGAGCAAATTGAAATTGCCGTGAGTAAATTGAAACTGCTGTGAGCAAATTGAAATTGCCGTGAGTATAAATTGAAAGTGCCGTGATCAAATTAAAATTGCCGTGAGTAAATTGAAACTTGCGTGGGCAAACTGAAATTGCCGTGAGTAAATTCAAGTTGAAATTGCCGTGGCCAAATTGAAATTGCCGTGGCCAAGTTGAAATTGCCGTGGCCAAGTTGAAATTGCCGTGGCCAAGTTGAAATTGCCGTGGCCAAGTTGAAATTGCCTTGGCCAAGTTGAAATTGCNTTCGAGTCCAGTATGTATATTGATTAAATCTCCAAGCAAAACAGCAGGCGTTTGAACAAGCTCTTATGTTGTAAAAGACCTTTGCTTTCTGTTTTATGAAGCATCCAACTACATGACTTTTTCAGCCATGAGATTTTGGTTGCATATTTTTTGCATCGTACCATTGTACGTTAAATTTTGTACATGTCAAAGATATTGAACAGTGTGTGAATTTGGACAGATTGGGATAATTATAGACAAAGTCAATCACGATCGATAAGAGAAAGGCTGATGTATGGCTACGGTAACGGTGTATACGGTGTTTGATAGATTCGAGATTAAGCTGACTTAATAACTCACCATACTCAATTGATTTAGGAAATTTAAATAATGTTCTAAGTTTATAAAGATGTGTACGTTCAATTTTATCAGATAAGGTGCTTGACAGCCCAACAAAAAGAGGAGAACAATAATCAAAATGAGGAGGTATATAGGCCTTATATATTCTCATAGCAGTTTTACTATCGATAAAGTTACGTATTCTTCTAAGAGCACCAGCTTTGGCATGTATTTTACTGAGGATATTCTTAATATGAGTAGTATATGATAATTTACTGTCAATTGTCAAACCAAGCAATTTGAGTTCGTCCTTTATCTCGACATTGCTATTGTCCAACGATCCTTTTACCTAAAAAATGTTATTTTGGAAAGAGTACCCACAGGCGGCTCAAACAAATCCACCTTTTTCATCCCCTCTACTCCTCATACGGTCTTTCTTTTTTTATAAGAGGAGGGCACTTGGAGTTTATTAGAAACTGCAAAACCCTTGAAAAAATTATCCAATACCGCAAGACTGCAAAAAAAGAAAGGCAAAAATTAAACTCCATCAAAACCGAAAACCGAATGCAAAACCGTCAAGACCGATAAATGTTCACATCCCAGTTATCGGGTAGTCCCTCATATACCGGGTTCTGAGACATCTAATAATCAACATGTAGATGTAGCAAAAGCGTAAAGTTTATCAAAAGCCCGGATACAGTGGTGAGAAGTGGAGCATACAGACGGTTCGCGGCTACTTGGGATCAGTGGAGGCGCATAAGTGCCTCTTAGAACGTAGTTGTATCGAGAGTGGCCAGTTCAATGAATAACCAGCGGATAAGTGATAGCAAAATATATCGCGTTATCCACCGGATAGAAATTTATCTAGTGGATAGCGTCATC